AAAGCTGTCCTCACGTGACCCGACCCAGCTGGAACGGTATCGCGTCACGTGACCGAAGCAGTGTTTAAGCGCGGCTCCCACGTGTCCTGGCGGCTGACGCTCCTCACTCCGAACCGGCCGCCTGTTCCCGTTGGCCATTGTGCTGCCATTTTCCTCCATATGCCGCGTGCGGTGACCGCCGCGCCGGCTGTGGCGGCTGATGGCGGCTGTGGTTACCAGAGTACCGATGGCGACTCTGGTTACCGGAGTTACCGGTGCTGTTGGTGGCTTTGGTAACCCGGGTTCTCTGGTGGCCGTGGTGACAGTTGTGCCAATGATGATGCGCTGGAGCCTGAAGGCTTGAGCAGCGATGGCGCCTGTGTGGCTAATTGTCCCCCGTGACCGGCGTTCTGTGCCCGTCCGGAGCAGCGCTGCCGGGTCGACGAGGTCTGGTCGGGTGACCCGGCCGGATGTCTGAGATTGGGTGCTGCAGTCATCGACCCTGATCAGTGATCGTATTCAGCTCGTAATTGATCTAGATACTTAGATATCGGATATGATACCTGATATACTTGTCTTCTCAAATCAACTGAGGCCAGTGGACTAGTCTAAAAAGTAAACACTAAGTCGCTTTTTGTACACCGAATAATTATAACAATCTGGTGTCAACAACTCGGCCGCCACCCTATTCCTGCCCCGAGAGGCCAGATCACGCTGTGACCGCGGCCGGCACGTCGTCGCAACTCCGCGAACCATCACGTCAGATCCGTCACGTCCTGTCGGCGGCCGTCGGGCCCCTGGACCCGGGGCACCGGTCGGGCGCCGCTGCGCCGTTTTTGCCTGCACCGCGCCGCGCTCGTCCCGGGCCGCCGCTCGCCGGGCGCGTTTTTCGGCCGTAGCGGCGGCCACCCGACACGGCTATAGAGCTGCCGCAGCGCACTGTGATGTGGGCCTCCGTCATACGACTGGATAGACAAAACTACGACCGTCGTAGTTAGTGATGCGGCGGTGAATGACAGTTGGTGTGAAATCTGCCCTCGGTCGTTAGGTCGGTCTGATGCGTTAAAAATTGCCTGTCGGTGGCTTACATAAATGAATGGAGAGGTCGTAGTTGTCAGTAGAGCCCGGGACGCGGTGGCATGGGCCGGCCCGCGTTGACGAATGGCCGCGCCGTTACGCGTCAACTGGGCTGGTGGGCTTTGTGGAGCGGCCGTGACGGCTGTCCACGCGGCGGGGGCCCGCGGTGGAACCACGCGTCGAGCGGGGCTCGGTAGCTAGACGGCCGTAAACAGCTCTAATGTGGTCACGGACCGGGCTTGAAGGGATTGGTTCGAAATCCGAGATGTTTTGAACGAGTTTGAGACTGACATGAAGCTGTCCGGGCTGGGACGGATGGCGCTGGACGGGTCGAACTGAGTTATCCCGGGTCATGCTATACGGATCATGTCATTGGTGATTAGTCTGGGCCGGATGCTCTGGGTCAGATATTCGAATGATCGGATGTTACAGATTACAACAGAACGATCTGTGTAGGTACTGTGTTATGTGCACGGCACTTGGGTTACTTCGAGTTCGACGGAACCCACGGGCTGTCCCGCTGCGCAGGATACCTTGACCAGCGTAACCTACCCGTCACGCTCCACCGAACCGTCACTCCCAGCCGCACCTCTTGCGTCATTTCTGCGTCGGACCGGGCGGCCCGCCAGCTTCTATACCCTGCGGCATTTCACGCTATCGGTGTGCACAGAGAGGCCGCAGCGGCCGAGGACAGCCGGCAAGTGCCTCACTCGTCGCCCCGCCTGTTTACCTCTGCCGACACCCGGGGTAGTGCCCGAAGGCCTCTGCTTACGTGGCGTGGCTCCTGGGGATGTATGCGGGAACATACCCGCTACCCTGGGGAGATGTCTGCCCGCTGGCACCTCGCACTCATCTGTTTTCCTTGCGGCTCCTCGCCCTGTTGTATTACTCGCCCAATGTGTGTAAGATTACGATGATGGATGATATGTGGAAGGCGCTGCAGTGTGTAAGAGATTCAGTGTATGATTTGGACGATATTTCCTGTAATGTTCCCGAGTTTCCTGGTGTTGATATTATGCTGACAGATGGAGCTCCCTTAGCAGCGACATTTGGCTGTCATCTGTCGCCGTATGTCAACAAACAAACCATACGGTTGCCGAGTTTAGGTTATTAATTCTACTCTTCCGTGAGTCATGAGCAGAGTGGACAAACACACTGGTAATTAACATTCTCATGCCTTAGCTTCTGTCGTTAGTTACTGTGCCCATTTCATGTTAGAATGTCTTTTGACCATTCGCCCCATGTTGAATTCTCGCCTTGAGACATGTCTGTTCCGCTTTTCTTTATACTTTTCTCATCACTTGACCAGTCACCCGATGAACACCTGTCCCACGCTTTGAGGGACGGTTGGTTGGTTTCCCGACCAGTCGGCCGACCGCCCCACTGACCGCGCTCGCCGTCCCCTCGCCGCGCCGAACCGCTCTGCGATTGTAATCAATGCGACTGGTCGTGATGTATCGGTGGTCGGTCCGACCGCGTCGGGAATACGTTACCGCCCCGATCACATCGGTGCCCGCCTCTATACTGGGGCTGCGACCGGCATCTGACCTGGTGAGGTCCGGCTTTTCGTCGCTATTTGGAACGGACAAGCTAGCGGACGCTAGGGATCAGTCAGACTCGGCATGGGACGTGCTATCGCTGCACCACACTGCGGCGCAGTTTTATATCTGCGCATTTACCCACACCATCGTTCACAACAGTCATCGGGTGACAAGTGGTTTGTCGAGATACTGCTGATGCTGGGCAATCCCTGGTGTTCACAACTTCTGGGTTTTGCGGTGGAACTGCTGGGTGGTGGTCAGTTACACCAGCAGTGCGTTCCTGCTCAGTTAACGGCTGCGGTGGACGGACAGACCAGCACAGAGTGGTTACTCGGTGCCGGTGGTTACCGGTCCCGGTGGTTACCGCCGGTTTCCTGTTCCGACATTTGGTCGCGGTGCGTGCCGTCCGCCGGGTCGGCAGGTCATGCTGACTGGCGGTCCGTTCAACTGAGGCCGGTCCGTGCCAACCGGTCCATGGCACCGCTCAACGCTGTCAATGAAGCCAGTCGACCGGCCCGGCAGGGAAGCTGGCCGGCCTCTAGGTCACAAGCAGTCTGTTTGGACTTCAGTTCTCTGGGTCTGTGGGGCCGCTCTATACATCTCTGCGCTTTGCAGGCGTTTGAGGTGTGGGTGTTAGTGTTTGCGGTTTTGTAGAGCTGCGCGTGTTTGTTATTATGCCGTCTGTTAGGTAGCCCAGGCTGTTACTCCGAAGTCTAGTCGAGGCCAGTGACTCGGCAAGTGGCCCGCTGGCGATCTGGGGAGTCTGGAAGGGTCGGCGTTCATTGAGAGGCCCACTCTCCAGCGACTCGGGCACTGAGTGGGCCAGTGGCACGCCGAAGGTCGCTGACCGGACCTTGGGATGACGACGTGGCCAACGAAGTCACGTGCTGAAGTGGGTCTGGAGTGAACGCTCTAATGAGTGCGACTGTTGGGGCGGGCCATGAGACTTCAGAGACTCTGGGCTGTTGCAGCTTCTCTGTGTGAACAAAGTGAGAGGTGCGCGCTCATGGATTAAACAGCAGTCTGAAGTGCTTGCGCAAGAAGCTGCAGAACTAACGCTATCTGTTTGCCCTGCTGGGTATTTCTTATCATACTATCGAACGCTTCTCCGTTTTATACGTCTTTCCGGTAACGGAATCAAGCAAAGCGCATTGCAAACTGACGCGATGTAGACTGTTTTTAACAATTGCGCTGTACCTTTTGTTATCGCGCCGTTCGCACCGATAGGCCGGTGGAACTACTGTAATCGTGTTTGTTCGGCGATACTCGCCAATGCGATATTGATCCTGGCTATTGGGTTGACTGTAAAAACCGCAGTCAGGCTCTGCTGGTTTGTGTTTCACCGTGAATCACGATTGTTACACCACCTGTGCCTATGACATACCCTCGCTGCGTCGTACCGTGATATCGGTACACTGTATATTTGTAGAAGCAAATATGCACTCGCAGTGACTCGCTGTTCTTGGCTGCATAGGCCCGATCCTGGCCGCAGCCCGCAATGTCAAGGTCTTCTGTCGGTTATGCCTGCCGCTCCCTCCTGTAATATTTTCATCCTTCCGGTGCCATCCGTTCATTATCCACTGAGTTGCCGAGGTCGCTGAGGGCAGATGGCTCTCCAAATTGCCGGCCTGTGTGATCATCATCAGTCAGTCTGAGTGACCTTAACTCCCGTATTACCGAGATGACGAGGCAACCCAGTGTCGCCCCGGCCCGCCCCGTCGTTACACCAGCCAGCGGCCTGAGACCGCGTGGCCTGGCTTGCACTCTGGATGCTCCGGAGTGCCGGCCGTCACTTTTGCGTAGAGAAGTGCCAGATGGGAATGGATTGCCTCCGCAGCAGCGAGCCAAATCACTGGGACGGCATCCCGCTGCGGTTGGGTCGCTCACCGTTACAGGTAGCCGGACCGGACCGGGGCGTGGGACAGGTCACAGCGCCGGCGCCCCCGGCCGCTCCGAACACCGGCCGAACGGTCGGGCTGCGCGCGGCGGCGGCAGGTGCCCAGTGACGTCACAGGCGACGGATGACGTCGCAGGGAGCGGCGCAGGTCCGGCTGGTGGTGAAGATCCTAATTGGACGCGTCACAATACAACATTTATTTTTGCATTATTTGGTATGGACAAATCGTTCGTTTTCCGACAATCAAACTCAGAAGAAACAACAATACAACATAATTCATCATCTCGTATCAAACTCAATTTTACGCTTTTAGGTCTTATGATACGATTTTGTCACGGCTTACACCGTGAACTTCTGCCGACCGAGCCGTGACATCTAATGTCTATTTGTGAGATGGATGGGAGGCGGGACTCTATCTCGCAATAGTCGCTACAAACCTCGCTATCTACCCTCGTTTGTTTAGCGACATGTGGACAATTATGCTGACCCAGTCTCCTCTATTACAGGCGGATGCAGCTCTGGAAATGGAGCGGCGATACTTTGTTCAGGCCAGTCTCGACTACGTCTGCATGCTGCAAGAAGTGCAAGAGCGCAAGAAGTTTGAGTTTGTGGAAACGGTGAGTGTCCCACCGCGCGCTGCTCGCTCTGACCTCGATGTGACCTTGGACGGTGGGAGGGTCCACGCGCAGCCATTGCCACGGTCCGAATGGGTTCCATTGCGGAGCGACACGGCGCCGGTCCCCCGCCCTGGCTGTTACGTCGCCCCGTGTGAGCTCGCGGTGGTGTGACCTGGCTGACCTCGGGGTGACCTACGCTGACCCAGCGGTCGACTGAAGTGCGGTTGGCCCCGCGTTCATACGTGACCTTTGACCTGGGGTGACCCGCGGCGTCTGTCTGTGACCTGTTGTCACCCAGACAGCGAGTCGGCCGGGGCGGGGCGGGCAAACGAACCGCAGGGGGTTGGCCGGTGACCTGGGTCTGTGTTGACAAGGGCGTTGACAGTGATGGATGCTACACAATTTGATTGCGTGAGGTAACTGGTGGTCAGCGAAACAAGCACGCTTAACTTAACTTTTACCTTATAATTTTCGAGCCAAAGATTCATGTGAGCTACAAACTATTTTTTATAGACAAGCGTGCATTCATCATTAATTTGATAATGTGTTTTTTGTACTTATTGACACAATTTCTGAGCTGTATTTACGGAAATTGGTCACGATCGCCTGTTCCTGCCCACATCAGTGCCCGCAATGACACCGTGTCGTAAACTCCTAACATTGATATGGTTTGCAGCAGTTTTACAAACTTGATAAATAGTGTCCTGTATCGTAACGTGAATGTGTGATACTGAAGTACACTTCAGTCGATAACCTTGAATCTCGATATAGCTTGTGTTGTGTGTCGCTTGAGATATACAAATACCGCCATTATTGATGTGCCGATAGCGTTTCAGCGGACACAAATTCCGCAGTGTTCCCCGCTGACTTCCTTTTGTTCTATTTCAGCTGCTGGGCTGTATGTACGGCTGGATGACATTCTACCATCAGGGACACGAGATGGCCAACGACAGCAAGGGACAGATGCGAGACCTCCAGATGCGACTCCAGAAGGTTGGTGAACGAGGGGCTGTTTCAGTTTGTCGCTCGATATATGCCTTAGTTTTTGTTTGATATGAGCCCTGTTTTACTACACCTTTTTTCATTGCGAGTCGGCATCTGTGCAGGTCATATAGACTGCTTTCATTTAAGCCGGCAACAGGCGTGGTCTTTCGACATTTGCGCGCCTCTCATCGACACAACGCGCCTTCACGATAAGGGGCATTGAAAATAGGCAGTGTGCACAACTTCGACACTGTTCAGTGGATTTAGACATAGCGCACTGAATATGACAACGTCCATCTGATATAGACGGGCGTGAATCAATTTTGACAAAGGTCTTTTAATTTCGTTTACGATTATATCAAACTTCATCGTATACATATAATCAATATGTATGAGTTGAGCGTTCATAATCGACATACCCATAACTGAATTTGGTTTGATTGTCCTCGCGGCCTGTCTCTACGAATATACGCAGATAATGAATTGTTATCACGTTCATAAAACACCATAGAATTGCTTTTTAGTCTCATTGCACGATACAACACAATTTGGTTTCAATACAAGTAGAACTTTATTTATGTGTGTGTACTTCAACATTTTAAAACAAATAAATACAAGCAGTTAACGAATCAATTTAATCCACAGTAATGGGTCATCAGCTTGAAATGCCTCTGGTAAAAGAGCAACATGATAAACAAAATTTCATTTGTGTATGGCCAATGGCCATGCCACATAAAAAACATTACGTAACACTGCAATAACAATGAACACAAGCAGTAAAATCAATGGACACAACTGAACGCTCCGCCGCCGCCAGTTGTCGCCGCGCCGGTGCGGTCACCCGGCCCAGGTGTCCTCTCTGGCCAGGCAGGCGCCGATGAACGCGTTGGCGTGTTGATAAGCAGCTGCCACCTTCTCCTGGGTCATGGCAGCCATCGCTTGATCCGCCAGCTCCTCCAGGATGGCGCTCCTCCACGTTCCGATGTCACGGTGTCCTGCCGCCAGAGCCGTGCCGCGATCGTCCAGCGTATACCCTGCCCCTGTCCAAGACGCTGCTTCAGGTCTGCTTTGTAGACAGAGAAACAGTTCTCAATGGGGTTCAAGAACGGCGAATACGCATCCACTTTGCCACGATGGACCAGGCGGTGTTCCTCTTCACGCTCAACCGGCGGGCCACAGCGACGTAATCGTTGCCATCACGGTACGCTTGGATGATTCGCTCGCGGTCCGCGGCACAAACGGTATGGCGGAGTCTCGGCATCTTGATACCGAATGACGCAAGCACACTGACCTGGCTTGAGGCCACCTAGCCTACCGGGAACCAGTAGAGGTTCAAGTGTAAATGATATAGATGACGCCACGTGGTCAGTTTGCTACTTCAGCATAGTTTATCAACACAAAACAAAACATGTTTCATATTTTCATTGTCCTACAAAAAAATCAAATGCAAATAAAAATCAAATTATCCATTAACGAAATCCATTTTGTATTGCCTAATTCAATCGAGAAGCGACTAAATTAAGTGAACTAAGACTAAATCTATTGTCAGTGTCGATATCAAATGCCCTTGTCGATATATACTGTGACACCGTTCGAAAATGAACAGCGGATAAACTAACGAAATGAAAACTGTCGTACAGTCCAAAGTAAGTCTAACACAATGCTCATTTACCGAACTGGGCCGCCTATGGTTACGGTCAATTGAATCTATGCCGACTCGCAATGAAAAAAGGTGTAATTCGTGCGGTACTTTCAATGATCGAGGGTTCCCAGTCCGTCGTGTATTGGTGCTGAATGTCATGAACATTTTTTTTTTATAGTTCTGTGGTCTGTCCGTCCCGTCTTGCCCGTATATTTCATTATGTCTGTTACGCTACATCTTCCCCCATGCCGCATCATTTCTGACTCGTGACCGTGCTCCGTCTTTGTCCGGCAGACTCGGGAAGAGTTCGAGTCAACTCGCAGTGAGGTGGAGTCACTCAAAAACAAGATGATGCAGGATGTGCGACAAGCGGTACGTCTCCGATGGTAGCTGGATTATGTTAGAAACAATGTTCCCTAGGTGTTGTTAGGTGTCCTACGCCCTCTCGACAACGTCACATATCCAGCGTAGGTGGCCGAACTTCGTCTCTCCGTTCTGACTTCTCGCAGTTACACGTTACGTCTGCCTCTGCAGAATGACGATTGCCGTTCTTCCAGCTGCAAAAACCCGATAGCTGAGTGGAATGTGGGCGGCGGAGGCCGGACGTCGCGCTCGGGAGGAGGGGAGTGGGGGAGGGGAGGGGGTCAGTAGGTCGATGGGGTCACACTGGCCTCTGACCCACCACTGTGCACCAGCTGCATTAGGTGTCGGTCGCCGCGTGAACCCTGCTGTCCATTTAGGCAGTGAGGTGGAGCTGTAGAGATGGTATTAGCCGCGCTGGGACGGGATTGCGAAATGAGATGTAGCGGTGGGCTGAGAAGCCTGAGAATGGCTATATTGAAAGGCACAATCGCTTTACCCTGGTGTGATATGTATTATTGATGCACCCTATACTTTTGATAGCTGTTAGATCGCTCTCAGCGGTTACGCTTGTGCTCGTTGGACAAGGCATGCTTTTGAGGTTGAATCGTTCTCTCGTCCCGCCGCGGTTCTGGCGTTGTCATTCTTGTCACGCTGTTAGGCCGCCAGATCTGCTGCTGATTCTTGGCAACATTCACTGTCAGTGCAACCCCTCACTGTCCCCATCATCCCGGCCGGCTCGGTAGCATCAGCTAGACCTTCCGTACTCCTGATATTGCATTCTGCGCAGGAGCAACATGTGCATTCAATGTTGGAATTCTCATTTTCAGTCGTGACCCCGGATCCTAAATTCAAGCTGGAGAACACCAACCAGCCAACTCTTATAGCAACTGGCCGCAATACATATTTACCCATGTTGTTCTCACATTTTTATGCTAGGATCATGTAGGCTTCGTGCGGGCTGCACAAATGAAGTGAGTTTGTGTATCATTTTACCGAACCTGACGTTGTTCGGTCTGACGTGTTTCAGAAGCCACTGGACGCTGGAACCCGGCATGGTTACCTCTACCTCATGGAGAAGAGTGAGTTCCAACCATCAGTACACCCCAGTGACGCTCTACCGACCGAAATCGAGCCGTCAGCTCGTCAGTAAACATCGATTTCGCAGTCTGCACACGGGCAGTCGAGTGCTAACCTATCGCTATCGTGACAAGTCTCATTGTGTGACATTGGTTTGATCCCTTTCACCGAAGTGATAGTGTGGGACAGGGTAAATCGACTCAATGTCGTATTGTGATTAGGGAGCGTGGTTTCGCCACCGAGGAAAATAAAGCGATGCATGTTTTGGTAGCGCTGACTTCTTGTCCACTCGCCACTGTTGTTTTTGCCATGGCGTATTCGTGCTGTCATGACTAATTTGCTTCCCTGTTTACTTATTGCGGTGGGCCTTTCGACCGATATGTTGCCGAAGTATCATATCTTGGTGCTATCTCAATGCTGTACCGACCGTGCTAACCGCAACACCTGTTACTTTCAGAGGCGTTCGGCTACACGTGGACCAAACACTACTGCAAGTACCACAAGAAGACGAAGCTGTTGTCTCTGATGCCGTACAATCAGCAGACCGGAAAACTGGTGAGTCTCTTCTCTGTTTTGATTGTTGTCCCTTTCATCTATCCTTTCATGTATCAGTAAGACTCCTTTCCCTGCGTAATAAAAATGCTTGGAAAGCTGTTCAGAAGCTGTATCAAATTCCTTTCCTACCGAGCCTATTTCATTCCCGTGTGCTGATTTTCGCTGAGGTAAGCTTCAGCCCCTTAACAATATGGATTTTGCACATTGCTGCCGCCACTGTTGCCGAGTATATAACTTAAATTCGTCACCGTTTGCTTTTTATTCCGAACTGGCACTTTATTCTCATTTAAACCACGTTATACTGCATCACTCACCACATGCATACCGCACCGCGACACGTACAGTTCCACAATCCACATGTTCAGACTGAGGGAGGTCTGTTTGGTGGCCTTCGCGGCTTTTTGCCTCAATGGTGTCTTTTCGGTCTGCTGGCTGTCAAATACAGGTTAATTGGCAGTTTTTGGGCCGGCGCGGTGGTTCGACTACCTGCATATTTGTGTTGTAGCGGTGCTCTCTGCGGTTCCTCTTCCGTAAACCATTGCTTTACGGCACTAATTGAATAACAACTGAAGGCTGTGACATGGTGCCTGAGCTGCAGTACTGTGCGACAAGGCAGTCGCACTCATAGACCGAAAACGGCTGCCATTGCCTACACATTGACTACCCATTGTAACAACTACTAACATTTTTTAATTATATTTCTCCACGCATTCAACTGACGGTTATCTTCTCTTATCATTTGAACGGACGAGCAAATGGGATACAATACATTGAATCACGTTTCATTTACAAAGTTTTATTTACGATGAGTCTGTATCACTGAGCTAGTGTATCTTCCCGTCCCTAACTAGCCCTGCCTGAATCACACCCGCCTCTGACCGCCCTTTCTCCTCTCTCAGAGTCAAAATGACGACATGGTGGTCCGCTCGTGTGTGCGGCGCAGCTCCGAGTCTATCGAGCGGCGGTTCTGCTTTGACGTCACAGCCGAGGACCGGGAGGGACAGGTGTACACGCTGCAGGCCATGTCAGAGGACGACTTGCGACTCTGGCTGGACGCCATGGACGGAAAGGAACCGGTGAGAGAGGAGGATAGGGACCTGAGAGGGTTTGGTACCCGGCGAACAGGAATCGGGGCTGTATAGAAAAGACACAGGACAGAGGCGAAATGGACCCGGTGAGAGAATATGATAGGGATAAGCGATAATGCAGTCTTCGGGGATAGGGCGGATAAGGACGAAAAAGAAGCCGGGACTGGATAACTGTGAGATATTCGTAGAAATACGAATGAGAAACTACATTTCTATTTCATTTTGTGGTCACTTCCATCGACATCTGTAGAGCCTGATGGTGGTGACGGAGTAGCTAAATGGTGATTCGTCGCAGTTCTTCAACGAGGGCTTCAGTTGACACTTGACAGTGCTAGCTCGAATGCGCGAGCGCGATCCATCTGTGCCCTTGGGTTATCTCCCGATATGTTTATCGCATACGGTAGTCGTGTTTGTATTTACTCTGTCTTTCCTTTGTCCTTTTAAACCGCCTTTGTCGCCTCTGCCCGTCAGACGTACTCCAAGTACGGCTCGGACCAGCGCAGTGAGGTCACCGCCCTGGACGACAACGGCTTCCACTTTGTCACGACGTGCATCGCGCAGCTGGAGGGCCGCGGCCTGGAGGAGCAGGGACTCTACCGGGTGGTCGGCGTCAGCTCAAAGGTGGGTCGACCGTCACTGGCCAGTCGTCACTCGCGTGGGCCAAGTTTGTCAGAGCTAACAGGTCACAGCAGTGTTCAGACTTAGGCTATGTGTCCATTACACCACTACCGCGTTGGTCTCTTGTCAGTTCTGTAGAAGTCTGCCAGAGCCCAGAGACCATACCTTTGTTGTCACCTGGCCATCTTATTCGCGTCTTAGTGCGTCAAACACTCGGCTGACCAATGCCTCTCTTATTGGCCTACCCTCCTCTCCTTCCCCGACCTATCGCGCTATATGGCCTGGCTTCCGCTGTGTTAATGCTCCACCGTGTGACCTGCATGCGACTTTACTGCGTAACCATTGTTTGACCCACCCCCATGACCCGGTCTCAGGTCAGTAAGCTTGTGCAGCTGGGCCTGAACCGGCAGAAGCTCGAGAAGGTCTCCCTCGACAACGTGGTCGAGTGGGAGACCAAGACGCTGACCAGCGCCATCAAGACGTTCTTCCGCAGCCTGCCAGAGCCGCTGATGACCTTCCAGTTGCACAGCGCCTTCATCAACGCCGCCAGTGAGTGGGATCGGCGGGTGGAGAGGGTGAAGTATGTGTGTGAGAGATAACGGGAGAGTTCATGGTCTGGGAGTGAATGATGTGAGGGACAAAGAGAGGAGGTTCGGGGTACTGAGGTGATTTTTTTGCAGCATTTTTTGTGAGGGTAGAGGTGTGGAGTCTGGAGAGGGATGGAGGCTCACATCCTGTCGTATTTTTTTTTTTTTTTAGACAAGCTCGTGTTTTGAAGTTTAGGTCCGCATAATGCGTTTTGGGTTCTTGCAAAATCGTATTCATGGCAAGCTGAGCTGCATGTAAACCTTTTCTGTGCCTTGTTTTTGCAGAGGCCGATAGCTCAGTCAGGGTAGCCGAGATCCACAAGCTGGTGAGGAAGCTACCCGCAGTCAACTACCGGATGCTCAAGATCCTCATGCAGCACGCACAAAAGTAAGTGTAACTGTTAGCCTCAGGCGGCACCTTTGCGACGGGCTCTGCATACGGGAAGTGACTTGACCCGTTGTTAAAGGAATTGGTACGATAGAGGGTTTTGATCTCAGTTAATTTCGCCTTTTCACGTACATTTATGCTGATTTTGGAGTTTTGAACAAATGTATGCTTTTATATGCATACTTTGTATACTGTAGCATGTGTAGAAGTGACTTACGTAGTTACCCTAGTGCAGGCTCCGATGCTCACCCATCCCCTCACCTATTCACCGCTGCTGTCACATCCCTCACCTCTCAACTTTCCCCCTCAGCGTGAGTCGGAAGAGCGACAAGAACCTGATGTCTGTGAGCAACCTGGGCGTGTGCTTCGGACCGACACTGCTGCGGCCGGAGGAGGAAACCATGGCCGCCATCATCGACATCAAGTTCTGCAATACCGTCATCGAGATCCTCATCAGGCACTTCGACACGGTAAGGCGCTGACTTCCACGTCTTGGGTTCCACATTGTGGACAGATGCTCGGCTAGAGATTGTGTTGGAAGAGTCAATGAGTCGGGGAGCGGCGGGCTCGAGCTAATGCGTTTGACCGACGATTTTACCATGAATTCAGCAACCTCAGCTCAGGTGCGATTATGTGTATGTAACTGTATTGAATAAGGATACAAATGGTTCACCTGTATGAAATTCCATCTATGACGCTGCGCCTGCGCAGTCAAGGCTGGGAGAAGGGATATGCTGTCAGGATTTAGGCAGCACTCTGGTTAAGAACCATCTTTGTGCCGACTCGGCACTGTGTCCGTGCCATGTCCACCACTGTTTTGGTTCTAAGAAGCTGTGTCTGTCCTCTGCTGTATTTCGCTGTGCGCTGACGGACCATTGTTGTACCGTTGTCAGATATTCAACAGTGGCACGGCGCTGCCCAGTCCGGTAGAGACCAATGGAGGGACCCATTACGGTAACGGACCGGTGCCCGCCCCACCGCCCGGCATCATATCGGCCACTGCTCAGGTGAGAACCGGCTCACCAGGTGGTGAGAACGGTCACTGGCTCTCGCTAATCAAGTGAGAGCCACAACCACTGCCCGTCCGGTGTCAAAGAACCTCCCCTTTTGTCGGAAAGACGTTGCCAGGGATGTAAGGCAACCTTTCAGTGATGCAATAATAAGGCAGCCTCATTACATTTTTTTTACGTGGAACAATTTGTGTATCATATTCAAACGACTCCGAGGGCATTTCGCCGCCGCTCTGGTCTGTGCTTCTTACCGATGCTGACTGACTGCTGACTGCTGACCTCTCCGGTCCTGGCTGTCCGCTGTCGCTGTTCTGTCTGGTCGTGGCCTCCTGCTGACCGTGCTCCTACCGTTGCTGACTGATGGCTGTCCGTCGTTCGCAGCCGATCCAGGTGACGTACGAGGCCGAGCAGCTGGCCCGACAGTCAGCCCGGCCGGCCGGCTCGGTGCGCCGCCACCCGCCCCCCTACGCCCACCCGCCGCCGCCCTCGTACGCCGGCCAGCACCCGCCGCCCCCGCCCCCGCCCGCCGGCGGCGGCGCGGCCACGGCGCTGGCAGCGTCGGCAGCGGCTGCCATCGAACCGCCCAGACAGAAGCCGCTTCATGTCTATAACCCGACCACCCGTGAGTAGGGGTGCCTGCGCGTGATGGACGCTTTGGGAGACACTGGTGGTGTGTTGGTCTGTTTGTCGGTGTCGTATGGTGCTGCTGTGTTCTGGTCCGTTCCATCTGCCCATCCGGTGGAAAAGTGGGTATTGTGGTATTGTCACATTGTGTCGTGCAACTTAGACGTTATCTGTGCACTCTGTCGTGTCCATACAATGGCAGCTTTCGTGGTGTCCGCTATCTTACCACGTGTGTCGTCTATGGAACGGCAGATTACAATGGCTGGAATTCAGACGTGTTTTCTGGGAAGAGTACTTACTTTCTGCAACCGTTGGTCATTTCATCATCTGCGGAACTTGAAGAACCAGTCTTTGAACATGCATATGCTTCTGCTAATTGTTATACTGTAGCTTTGAGAATGTTCATTTTCATTCACTTTTATCTCGACCACTTTCTGAAACAGACTAGCTACCTGTATTTTCACTCGGCCCTTAGCTGCTTCATTTCGTCACATAATTCGGCCGTTGACCCGAGTCCGCAACCCTGTGTCTTTCGCAGCTCCTTTGCACGCTCCAAGTGATCTTCAGTGATCTATCAGCACTTTTCTGTCTTCATGTCCGTCAATCTGTCCGTTCGCCTTTCTGTCATGATAAATGTTCGTTTGCCTTTTCGCCTGACCTATCCAGTTGCCGTGCCTGCTTACCCATCGTTCATTTATTAATTTTATCTGTCTGTTTTTCTGTTTGCTGGCTTGCTTGTCCCCTGGGTCCGTCTATTAGCCGCCTTATCCGTCGATCTGTTCGCTCATCTGAGTGCTATGTTTGCTTGTTCGCCATGACGGCGTGACCCCGTCTTTCCTTTTCTGTTCGTTCGTCTGCCCACCGTCTGTTCGCCTGTCTGTCGGTTGTGTTCGTGTTTGTGGGCCGTAATCGTATTTGTCCGCCGTCCATCCTCAGTTTCTCGCCGACCGGGATCGAGATCGGGTGGAGGGCGGCAGCCTCACCAACAACAGTATGAGCAGCAGCAACGAGTCGCTGTCGTCGCGCTCCTCGAGGGACCTGCAGCACACCACGTCATCCAGCTCGTCACCGTACACCCGTGAGTGCGGCGTCACATCAGGACGTGGCAGCGCGGAACGAGGGTTGGCCATGACTGGGTGGTCACTGTGACTGTCGAACACCCACTGGTGATCATATTTTGCTTTTTTGTTTGTTTGAGAGTGTATGTATAACTGTGTCACTATCCACAACTTCACAGCCTTCATTTATGTGTTTTAACCATCGTCATCGTTTCGTTTTCAGGCTCGAAGCTGGGATCCTGTGCCCACCGAGCTACCGGCCCCACTCAACCTGTAAGTACCTCTACTGACCGCCAGA